ATATTCTCGGCAAACGATTGACGGTAACTTACCTCTTGCAAGCCGTAGGGACTAGCTCTCGAACTCCCGTGCGATACCGTGCGATGGTGTGCGATGCGTGCTCGTGCGCGTGCCTTGGACTCGGACCACCGTGGCGTGCTGCTGCTATGCGCGCGATACTCGCTGCTCGCGTACGAGGGGTGCTGCTCGCATATGGTAGTGACGACCGTACGCGTGATGACTCGCGGCGGCTTGCGGACTCTCGGCAATGCTCGCGCACACACCCGAAAAATAATACACAACTCACACTATGCTCACTACCCTCGGCACTTAGAGAAGAAAAGGAAGCATAATCTCCCAAGCTTCACTTAAATAAACCGAATGCAAGGAGGGGAAATGGTCAAGGCTTTGGACATGTGGCCATCATGCAAAGAAAGATGCGAACTCCTTTGTCTCCATGGAGTCACGTGAAGGCAAGGCATGGGAAAAAGGTCCGGCCAAGCTCCACTCATGAGCACAACACTCACGTGCACTACAATACAAAAGATGGCACGGATTCTAAAAGGGAATCTTTAGCATATGGACAATGTAGGCGCACGGTCTTCTAGCTTGTGTTGGAGGAAGAATCACTTGCACAAATGTACTAGCATGCACACGGCAATGAACATGAAATATGGACCGAAATGCACCACAACACACGGCACATGCACATGATCTCGGACCAATGCTACTAACACTTGAACTATGCGCACAATGTGCACGGCCATGCTCGTGACTTGAATAAAATTCGAACAATTAGCTAATCTCGCGATTAAGTTAAATTAATCACTTAATTATGTTTAATCATCCAATTAAACATAATGCTAAATTACCAAAATTATTTCGAACGTAGACGGTACGTCGAAAATATTTTCCGGTAATTTCGACTGAAATAACTGAAAATAAATACTTCCGAAAAATAATATCGGAACTGAAATATTATTATACTGAGAAAAAATGGGATATTACAGTTGAGCCACCTGGTTCCTTAGCCATCCCCACCAGGTTCTAATACTTTGATAACCATCCAAAAACCTCCGATAGCACTTCCTTCCGAGGCGTGGTCTTGTCCGCGTGCGTCTACGCCAATGCGCGTGTTCGCGCCCTTGTCTAATGAGCCCTTTCTTGCGCTCGATTGTCGCCCACTTATGGACCACCCTTTTGCGTGCCCTTGCATTCCTCCATGCGCGACCTTCCTTGGCCGACTTGTGTGATCGCGCGTCCAACCCGCGTTCTCTTCCGCGTGCTTGATCGCGCGGTATCTCTTGTCCTACAAGCTTCAGCCCACTCACGCTCGATCCTTGTATAGTCGACCCTTGTATGGCCGACCCTCGGCTCACAGGGTTCGCCTCATGCGCTCGTGCATCGATGTGTTGGGCCTTTTGTCGGCTACCATGGTTCACGCCTATGCAAACTCCTCGATCCAAGCCTGTCCGTGCTATGCGCTTATACCTCATGCTCCTTGGGCTCATGCAGCGTCTTCGTGCGCGTATCTTTGTGAACGTGCGAGCTCTTCTCGTGTGTACCCGCTCCTTTGCACAAGACATCCGTCGACTACCTCGTGTTCGCGCGGACTCGTGCCTCTTCTCATGTTCTTGAGTGCCTCGCATACGAGCTCGTACCCACCTCTTGGGCCATGCGTGCATCGTTTTGGCCCTATTTTCAGCTTTCTCAAGCCTTCTCGGCTCTTGGACCTTCTCGTCGTTGGGGCCCGAAACCCACTTCCGTATCAGCGCGTGTCTGCGCGTGCTGTTCCGTTGGGCCGCGCCCCAGTGCGCCAGTGTGATGCGGAAGTGGGTTTTAGGCCACGACGACGAGAAGGTCCTAGAGCCGAGAGGGCACGAAAAGGCCGAGAAAAGGGCCAAAACAACGCACGCATGGCCTAAGCGACGGGTACGAGCGCGAATGCGAGGCGCACGAGCACAAAAGATGTGGCACAAGTCAACCCAAATGCGGCCAAGGCGTGAATCGACCCAACCGGATGGACGCAAACATGCGCAATGGCGTAGACGTGCTCGAACGAGACCACGCCTCAAAAGGAAGCGC